ACTTAGAATGGGAGAAAATATTTGCAAATGAAGCAACTGAGAAAGCATTAATCTCCAAAATTTACAAGCAGCTCGTGCAGCTCAATATCAAAAAAACAAACAACCCAATCCAAAAATGGGCAGAAGACCTAAATAGACATTTCTCCAAAGAAGATATACAGACTGCCAACAAACACATGAAAGGATGCTCAACATCACTAATCATTAGAGAAATGAAGATCAAAAGCACAATGAGGTATCACCTAACACAGGTAAGAATGGCCATCATCAAAAAATCTACAAACAATAAATGCTGGAGAGGGTGTGGAGAAAAGGGAACCTCTTGCTTTTTTGGTGGGCATGTAAATTGATACAGCCACTATGGAGAACAGTATGGAGGTTCCTTAAAGAACTAAAACTAGATCTACCATACGACCCAGCAATCCCACTACTGGGCATATACCCTGAGAAAGCCAGAATTCAAAAAGAATCATGTACCACAATGTCCATTGCAGCTCTATTTACAATAGCCAGGACATGGAAGCAACCTAAGTGTCCATCAACAGATGAATGGATAAAGATGTGGCACATATATACAATGGAATATTACTCAGCCATAAAAAGAAACGAAATTGAGTTATTTGTCGTGAGGTGGATGGACCTAGGGTCTGTCATACAGAGTGAAGTAATTCAGAAAGAGAAAAACAAATACCGTATGCTAACACATATATATGGAATCTAAAAAAAAAAAAAAGGTTCTGAAGAACCTAGGAGCAGGACAGGAATAAAGACGCAGATGTAGAGAATGGACTTGAGGTCATGGGGTGGGGGAAGGGTAAGCTGTGATTAAGTGAGAGTGTGCCATGGAGTTATATATACTACCAAATGTAAAATAGATAGCTAGTGGGAAGCAGCCACATAGCTCAGGGAGATCAGCTCGGTGCTTTGTGAACACCTAGAGGGGTGGCAGGGAGACGCAAGAAGGAAGAGATATGGGGATATATGTATATATATAGCTGATTCACTCTGTTATAAAGCAGAAACTAACATACCATTGTAAAGCAATTATACTCCAATAAAGATGTTTAAAAAAAAAGCTAGAGCTTAGCTAGAGATCAAAATCTTATCTCACTAATTCCAGAAGTAGTAGGCATTAAACATGCCCCTGACACTTCTTAAAAAGTCACAGAATGCCTCCACCTGATGATTCCTCAAGATTTTATTAATCTATAATATTGTGTTCTATCAAGATCACCACTTTTTATTATCTTGCTGCTCTGAATTGTTTCTCCCTTATTATTCTCAGCTACAGGGGCCATAAATTAAATTCATTCAGAATTTATACTCCTACAGTTCATTATATGTGATTGGTATTATCTCGCTGCCTTTCTCTGGCTCTTCTATACCCCCTGACAAGAAATATTGTAATAAAGTCTAAATACCATCCAACCAATAAATGTTGAGTTTAAAAAACAAACAAGAAAAAAAAAACTCTATTGACTACAGTGCCCTAAAGGGCACTCCATCACTCCTTTTTATCTCCACCAATGGTATTATTTCTGCCGAAATGACAGAGAAAGTGAGATTATAAAGAGTTGAGAGTTAGGTCCTTGCTTTGCCGCTGTCTGGATTGGGCATGTCATTTTCTCTCCCCTCACCTTCACCTCTTTCCCTGAAGGTCAAGGGACATTACAATACATCAGCCTGCTTCATGAGGAGCAACCCTACTTCAGGGAACAAACAGATAGCGAGGTAATCAGTTGACTCAAAAATCAATGAGTGGTCCATTACTGGAAATTCTGAACACCTCTCAGTGACCTTCCAGAAGCATCGCTACAAAAGCTGGGAGGATAGTCTCTTGTTTCTAACACTGACCAAGGCTGTGGAATATAGATCCCTCCATTAGACCCCAATAAAAATAAACACAAGTATCTGATAATGGTGAGATTCCCCCAAGTTATGTTTGGATGTGTTTGTTCACTAAAGAACTTGATAAAATGAACTGGTATATCCACAGCGGCTTTGTCATGGTTGTTCCCATCACCATCTTCAGTGATGTGAGATTCTACCACGCTAGGAAGAGCGGTGATTTTTCAGAGAGATGGAAGTTGGCAATACTTACTAAAAAGTGGAGATTCGAATCCTGGCTGATTCATCTAATGGGAAATGGTTCACATTCAATGCATGCTCTGGCCCTTGGGACTCAGCTTTATAGAAACATAAAGGCCTCAATATATTTCCACAGTCAGGACCACTGAGAAGTATTTCTTTCTTCCCTCCTCTCCTTCCTTTTTTTTTATCACAGTACAGGGAGTAACAGGCAGATGCTAAAGATCATGAGATCGAGGATGGAGGAGGAGAAGCCGGTCAGAGAGTGGCAATACATAATCTATTGGCACTGCTTTAAAAATTGTTTAAAAATTTAAAAAGCACTGATCTTCAAAGTTATAAAGTCTGACACCACAACATCTGTGGACAGTTGCCACTTGTCCCTCTCTCCTGATCTCACTGAACTGCAATCACAATTCAATAGTTATCAGATAAAAAAACCGTACAATGACCAAAAATGCATGTACTGCCAGGACTGTTTCTAGAGGTTAGGAATTGGGATCCACAGACATCCCTAAGGGTGGCTGAATGGGAGTACGCCTGAAAAAGGGTCCACACCAATAGTACAGCAGACCTCAGAATCACCTGAGAAACTTACACAACCATAAAATAAAACAGAGTCCCATAGAAATCAAAGCTGCAATGACATACTGTATTCCATCCACCAGATGAACAAAAATGACAAAGTTTGGCAATACCGGGTACTGGTGAGGATGTAGAATCCCGGATGTACTAATACATCACTAGGGGGAGTATAACTTGGTGCCACCACTTTGGAAAATACATTGGATTATCTATTGAAATGGAAGCTGTACCTTGTGACCCAGAAATTCCACTCCAAGTTCTACGCTCTAGAGAAACTCTTGGACGTGCATACGCACCAAGAGGCATGCACAAAAATGCTGACAGTAGAGTTGTTGGTAATAGCAAAAGCCTGGAAACAACCCAAATATCTAATGACAGTGGAAGAGAGAAATTGTGGTATTTTTCTGCAATGGATTCAAAACCAAATGAACCACAGTTACATGCGTCAAAATGAGCAAATCACAGAACAAAAAATTATTCCATTTATATAACAGGTTGCAAATCTAATCTATATGTTGTTTGAGGCTATATACATAAGTGGTAAGGCCACAAAGAAAGCAAATGAATGATTAACACAAAGTGCAGGATAATATTTACCTCTGGGGAAAGGGAGAGATTTTTGATCTGGGTGGGGGACAGAAGAGATTGTAAAGGGACTGACAACATTCAAATTCTTACACTTGGTGATGAGAATACAAGTACTGATTTTATTGTAATCTTTAATCCTTGCATATATGTTATATCTACTTTTTTGCACATGCTAGCTTTTATAGTAAAATTTTAAAATCTACAGATTTCTAGGCTCTATCTCAGATCTACTGAATCAGAATTAGGCTATAGCGCTTAGGAAGTATTTTTTTATAAGTTCTCCAGAATATTCAGATGCATTATTGGGTTAAGAGCACACACCTACACACATACACACCCTACGTTACACAACAGTATCCAGATGAAAGCAGCTTAAAATATGTATCAAAGTCAAGAAATTTCGAGAGAGTCATAAAAATAGAAAAGGTCAGCCTGGGAGAGTGTGTAGAAAAGAAAGGTGCCTCATAGTTCAGGGCTCAAGGCTGATGTAGAAGCCTGGGAGCATTAGTTACTAGTTATTACTAGTTATTAGTCTCCCATGAGCGTACTTGAACCCTGTCCCTGTTAGTTTCCCAAGAGCATCTACCTGAGATAATCACCCCTAAGAACTGGGCCCACAGCAGGCTGTCACCACAGCTTTCGCTACAAAGACAGAAACATGATATGGTGAAAAGTATTCTGGTCTATGACTCATCACGGCAGACATCTAGACCTGGACCCACATGTATAAGCTGATCTTTAGCAAGTTGCTTCCCCTCTCTGAGCCCTAGCTTCCCCATCTGTCCTGACTCCCTCACAAAATTGGAATCCAATGAGACAGTGCAGTTGGAAGGGCTTTGCAAACTGAAAATACTACTCTGAATGTCCAGTAAGTCCAGTACTATGTCAGTTATCATTTCTTCCTGAAAGTTAGAAATATAGGTGGTCTATTCTGGGTCAGTAAAGTTTTCTGAGTCCAAGGAATTGGGAGCTCTAAGATTTGCCTTAAAGAGACCTGAGGCAGTGCTAGGGCTTAGTGCCTCCACATCTCTCTCTAAAAACTCAGCAAATATTTAACAAGCACCCACTACTTACCCTCAGCCTACCTTTTCCAGTCCTGATAATTTAGAAGAGGATGTTCATAAACAGCAAAGAACTACTGGAAGCACCTTGCAGAACTAATATGCAGTCTAAATATTCATTAATGGCTTCGAAACTAACATTTAACTCAGTTATACAACACCTTCCAAATTAGGATTGCCAGATTTAGCAAATAAAACTGTACAACACTCAATTACATTTGAATTTTTTAGTATAATTTGAATAATTTTTAAGTATAAGTATGTCCCAACTATTGCATGAGACATACTTATACTAAAAAATCATTTGTTATTCACTGGAAGCCCAAAGTTAACTGGGTGTCCTGTGTTTTAACTGGCAACCCCATTCCAAATGAACAAACAGATTAACATTTTCTTCTGTATCTTACATTGGGAAATCTGCATGAAAGAGAGCTATGAAATCCTATTTTCTTTCATTAATAAGAGCGTAAAGGGTTGGATTGATCCTGAAATTGGACTTGCAACCTCCTCTTCCTTGTATAGCCCAAGAAAACATGAAGAGGCACAGATATTACAAACAGGTTTCAAAGGAAACAGGATGGAACAGGGGTGGAGAAGCCTCAAAATTTCAAACAGAAATAGACATCCCAGCCCCATTCTGGCCCATCTGGGACGCTTTGCAGTGGCCTCTACCCTTACCTCTGGGCATCTCCTTGGCATGCTCCTCTTCGGGCCCATCCAACAGGTCCATCTGGGAAGCCTCCTCGGGAGGGACACGGCGCCAGGACCAGCTCTGGTTCCCAAGGTTGTGCAGTGGAGGGGAATACTCCAGCTCACAGGGGAAGTCAAAGCTGCACTCCAGACCTGCAAGGACAGACAATGGTCAGTGGAGCAAACTGTCTCCCAAATGTGACCTTCCAGCCCCACTCCTCCACTCCAGCAAGTTGGCCTCCATCTCACCCACAACCTTCACCCTAACGAGGTATGGCAGGCTGTCAATTCCACAGGTGGCTGAGCTCCATGTGGATGAAAAGGAGACTACAAGAGAAAAAAAGTGTTCTTTATATAACTCAGATTATGGGAGGTATCTTCACAGAAGGCAGGTAAAAAAAGAGCTAAACAAGTCAGACCATGAAAAGTTTTGCATCTTGTAAGGTTCCCTGGTGACATGGAGAGGGCCTGAGGTCAAGTGGGCAGAGCCTGGCTTTGCAACCAGATGGGTCTGAATCTAAGTCAGGCAAGAAAATTAACTTCTCTGGCCTGAAATTTCCTCACTTGTACATTGGGGATGATAATTTCTACCTCTGGAGATTGCTGTAAGAACTAGTAGTATAATTCATTATCTGTACACATGAGTCTGGTCCACAGTTGATGCTCAGGAAAAATCCTCATCAGGATCCTAACTGAGAAGAGAAGGCCAAAGGGAACTTAAGCAACTCACAACCCTGTTTGACAGCCCTATCATCTATTCTTCAATCACCCTCCAGAGAGGAGAGCCAAGGCTGTGATAGCCAATGAGTTTATTCTCTCTTGGGAAGGGAATGGGGAAGGTCACTGGGTAAGGAGAGAGAGAAGAGGCAGAAAGAGGCTGTGTCCTGGGACTCTGTGTGATCGCTTTCTGGGCTTCTTTGCATGAATCATCCTTGTGTCCAATCATTCCACGTCTGCCCTACTTTTAGGATACACTTACCTTCTCTTTACCTTGCCTTGCTTGTTGTTTATTACCCAAAGTGGCTGAAGTACTTTGTACCTAGAAGGCCCCAATGCTCACTGATGGATCAACAGAATATGTGCCAAAAACCAAATTAGTCATCCACCCTTTACTTCATCATCTCCCTTTAGCCCTGGGGATGTGAAGAAAGGGAAAATTTCATATAAAGACCATTGGATGGGAATATGGGGAATTTGATTGATATCCAGGCTTGGCCAGTCTCTTCTCACATATGGAACTTGGTGCCCTCATCCATAAATAAGAGGTTTAGACTTGATGATTCTAGAAACAAGTACCCAGTGAAACCTGGCTTCCAGCTCCAACTCTGCCATTGATTTGCTGGTTACCTTGAATAAGCCACTTAACCTCTCTGGGCCTTAAATTCATCAAATACAGAATGAGACCCACACTAGATGTCTTCTAAAGCTCCTTCCTGATTTGACTTTTTTTTTTTTTAACATCTTTATTGGAGTATAATTACTTTACAATGTTGTGTTAGTTTCTGCTGTATAACAAAGTGAATCAGCTATATGTATATCCCCATATCCCCTCCCTATTCCACCCCTCTAGGTGGTCACAAAGCACCGAGCTGACCTCCCTATGCTATGCGGCTGCTTCCCACTAGCTATCTATTTTACATTTGATAGTGTATATATGTCAATGCTACTCTCTCACTTCATCCCAGCTTACCCTTCCCCCTCCCCGTGTCCTCAAGTCCATTTTCTACCTCTGCGTCTTTATTCCTGCTGATTTGACTTTTTTAAGATTCCAAAGTCCTTGCTCTCAGAAGGGTTATAACTAATTTGATAAATCAATCTGTGCGGTGGTGCTAATGACTACTAACTCCCAATTATCATCGTGCATTTTAACAGCTGCTTCTGGAGCTACTGCTACCTTGATCTCCAAGATGAGTCTCCTGTTGGGAATTTCAGGAGGCAGAGGAGAAGTAGGGTCAAGACTAGTGCAGGTAGCCAGTCACTGGAATGTCCTTTAGTTACACCATAGAAGATGGCCCTGCCCTGGAGTGGGAGCAAAATAATGCCCACTGACATTGGCCAAACGATCTAAGTTTAGGGGGGGAAGAAAAAAATCCTTCAGTTACCCTTCTATTAAAGTATCTTTCTAACTTCTCAACCAGCAGAGATTTATGTACCAGCTGCTCTCCAGGAGCTGCCATCCTTCTGGTCCTAAGGTTAATACCACTCGCCCTTTCACGATTCAGACAATTCACCTTTATAATGTCAAGCTGAAACAGGCAGAGCTAGCCTTGTTTGAGTTGACAGGCCACTTGCTGCCTACATATTTTATCAGCCTTGAAGAACTTCTACCTGCCTCTGGGGGCTGAGCTGCTGCTATGAGTTGGTGTCCATGAACTGTAGGCTGTCTTAATCTTCAAGACTTGCTTGCCAGGAACCTGGTTTGATAGCAGAATGCAAGGAGAAGAAAACCGATCCAACATTTTGTACTTTGTAGCACAAAAATTATTCTTATAACGAAAGGTGTAGCCATTAAACCTGGCTCCTCTGGGAATGATTAAAAAGACCCATCCACATTAGTGAATGATCAAGTCAGAAGGTGGGAGAGAAAGCTACTGGCCACCTCCATCCCACATCAACAATTACTGGTACCTTTCCCAAAGCTTCAACTTCTGAGGCCCATCCTCCATCTTGACTTTTCTTCTCCAATTAAAGTCATCCTATTCCTATTTGGGACAGAAGTGTGGCATGCCAGCTCAGACACTGCTTGGCAAATGCGCTCTGTGTGCATATTAGACAAACAGACAACAGAATATACAACCCCAGTCTCAAGTGCCATCAATCCTTGGATCTTTGAACTCTGGAGAGTCTGATAATCAGCTGTGTTTGGGTCAGACCCTGCCTAGTAAAACAAGCTAGGCAGATAATCCTGTTATCAAATGGGTTCATTTTGAAATTCTTGCCCTGAGGCAGCTTCTCTTTAGCTGTCAAAGATGTACTCTTTGGCTTTAAATAGGAATGGAGTTAACGTTATTGCTCATTTTGGGTGAAATCAGATTGGACTTTTCTATATTCTGATTTAATTTCTTATAAAATTTCTACACAGGTTTCTCTCTCCTTTGCTAGCCTCTGTGCCTTTCGAGCAATAATACCTGGGATTTGTCTTCTCTAAAAACACCAGGTTAAGCCTCATTTTCCTTAGGCCTTTTCTGAGTTTCTAGACCTAGGGTGCTTCTTGGATCTCTCTCTTTAGCCCTCCTCTGACTCCACCCCTTTGTGGTGGGTGCTGTAGAGTCTCTCCTACAGGCAGGACTCAGAGGGGCTAAGGGTTTCCGTGAGGTGTTCAGCCTTAAGCAACCCAATGGTTGAACAGGTCCATGCCCAAGGAGAGGGGCAGGAAATCACATTCACTGACCCCGGCTGTCTGCCAGGGACCGTGCTAAGGAGTTTCTTATATCACTGTATTTAATCTGCTGAACAAAACTGAGAAGGGAATTGTGTCTTCTATTTAAAGCTGAGGAAACTGAGGCTCAGAAAGTTTACTCTACTTGTACAAAGACCAAAGGACTACCCTACGGCAGAGCCAGAATGTGACCCAGGGCTGGTTAATGCTGAAGATCTAGATGTTATTCATCACACCTCCACAGCTTCAGAATTTTAATCCAGGGCCAACAGATTAAATTATATATGAGAAACCTATGAAGTCTGCAAACTTTTCATACCTGTAAAGGCTTCTGTACTACCCTAAGGAGGCAGATCTATATTTCCTCTGTGTCAGGTCCATTTTACAAAGTGACTGACCTTCAGAAGAATCCAGAGATTTCGACCTTCCTTTTTACATACCTGTTTGGAACCAGGAGAATCTAACTTTCCAGAACCTGCTACACACATAGTTGAAATCACTGCTCCCCACTTTCTAGTCACTTCCATCATGGAAGAAAGATAAAGTAATGGAATCTTCTGGAAATAGTTGGCCTGCTGAGAGGAGTGTCAAGTGCTGTGAAGGGAAAGGTCTTGGTAGAGCAGTGAGGATAGTTCCAGGCTCAGTCCTGCACACAGCAGCTGAGGGGCCTCAGCACGTCCATTCCTATTTCTGTGTCTGGCTTTCTGCATTTGAAAATGAAAGAGATGAAGCATACCCCCTCTACGGTGCCCTCCATCTCTGAAGGTCAGTGGTTCTATAGAGCTCATCTTTGGCCAACACAACCAAACCTACAGACCGTTGGTCCCCTCACCCTGCCTGCCTCTAAATGAGGGCCTGCTGTCATCCCTAAAGCAGGTTCCCCAGGGAAGGAGGTGGAATGTGCATCACACTCCATGGGGTCTCACTTTGCCTCAAGATTGTCAAAGAATTAAGAAGGAAGGTTCAGGCAAGTTTTACAGATGACCGTGCGAGGGTGAATGTGTGTGTGTGTGTGTGTGTGTGTGTGTCTGTGTGTGTGTGTGTGTCTGTGTGTGTATTCATGCATTTTTATCAGTCTGTACCCATATTCTGAAATCTTCCAGGATATGAATCATATTTCAAAAACTGAATTAACAGTTAGCTTCAAGGAATTGTTCTAGTATAAAACACAGCCCTTCAGAAGAATGGCACAGTAACCCATCAGAAGAACCCTGTGGTGACCTGCCCAGAGTGATGCAGTTCCCTTGGCCATAGTGAGTTGGCAGTGACCAAACACTTTGACACTGAATCTGAAGGTGGAAATCTAGCCTCTGGGAATGTGTGAAACTACCAAAGCAATCTTGCCCAACACCTGTGCCTAGGAAGCGAGCCTTGGCCACTTGGGCAGAGATGGGGATCTTCCCAGTCTGCGCTACAAGAAGGAGATTGCATGGAAGTTTCAGGCACTGTCCATAACACCACAGAAGGGTAACAGGGAGATGTGGTGTACTTTGGACCCTTGGGTCTTCCCTTGGGTGGACTTAGAAAATCCAGCAGCCCTCCTATGTATCCAGATTGACCTCAGGCTCCCAAAAAATCCCTTAGATCAAGGTCCTTTGTACCTCCTTCATCCTAACCCTGTAAACCTAGAGACCTCTCACTAGTTTCCTAAGTCTCCTTAAGACAATTCAAATTAGGGGCCTCCTTTAGATTTTAAGACATGCCTCCCAAGGCTGGCTGGTTTTCAGATGACCACAGGTGGCAGATGCCAGCCTGGGCAGGTCCATAGGAGCCC